TCGATAATTGTTGATTTGCCTGGGGCAGAGGTGCCATAATGTTTGTCCAACCACTGTTTTGCCTCAACGGTGTTTTTTCCCATCAAAAAGCAGTGTTTAATGAGCACACGAAATTCCTTTTTTTCCATTGTTATGAAAATAACCAAATTAGCGTCACTAAAGCTTCAATAACTCACACAATAATGATCCGAATGACATATACATTTGACAGTACGCCTAAAAGGGTCTGTTCTTTCGAACCACTATGTACTTTTTGTGGCGCTCTCTGTGTCAGACCGGGGACTTATTGACCGATGTGTTATATATATGGAACATTTCTGAGTTTAAGCGTTTATTGAGAAATCTTTCCTTATCAAGAATTTGGACATTCTCCCAATAAAATTCATGATTAAAACAAAGTTGGTAGTCCGTCACTGATTAGTTCTTATTAATGTTGTTAGTATGGTTGCGATGCTCAGATTTTCTCGTGGATAATTTTCGACCTGTTTGACATATGACGCGTCGCAATCTTTAAAAGGGATTTTATACACATTTTTATTGGAGAATTTTAGAAGAGTGTCCTTCTGTACTTTTATGAATTTATTAAACTTATTCAAACTAAAGAAAGACAGTTTCTATTACGTTAATATTCTTAATAATCGTAAAAAACTTCTCAGATATCGGTGAAACATAAGGTCTTCCTTATTATTTCCGAACCATGATGGATGCTCTTTGTCAGCATCATCGCTATCAACATCATTTTCTTTCGTCCGTAGTTTGTGAAACAATATTTACTGCCTTGAATTAATGGTGTTAAAAATAAAATCGGATAATTATTATTTACCAAAGTATTGACTATAAACTTCATGTTCTTGTTATTTAACTCATAGACGCGTTGTTTTATTTGTTACAAATAACTTGTTACAAATAAAGAGTTACGCTTTTTCAATAACGCTATAGCAAATATTTCATATTTAGTATATATATGAAACAAGAAATAGACAAATCATATCTTTTAATATTAATTAATCCTGAAAAGTAATGACTATATATATTAAAAGTCACAATCGTTTTATGTATAATGATCACACAAATCAGTGCAATAAGAATTTAAAAAATTTATTCAAAAATTTTAAAATTTCGTTTTTTTAAATTTCATCTATAGTTTATTGTCCTGCTCATATGAGTTCCACTTTGCGATTTTAATCATATATGTACTATGCGCGTGTAGCGATTTACGTAAGACACTTGAAAATCTGTGATATAGAAAGAGATAATGAACAACCAATGCAGAAGTTGCGTGGCATTGCGCGTATTTGCTAACGTAATGATAATGATAACCTATTTGTACACGAGGTCAGTCGTCTTCTTCTCATTTTTGACAGAAATCACTTTTTGACAGATGTACACTCTACATAAGGTTACATATATGACCAGATATGAGATCAGATTATGTCCTACATATAAATATATATGAACATAATCAGATCTGCGCAGATATGAAAAGTCATATCTAAGCATATTTGATCACATATAACTTAATTTGCCGAAATATAATTTTTCTGATTTAATCTTTTTTTGCCGGGCAGAAAATGCATCCTGCATATATCAACAGAGATAACATTTGAAAAAATTAAAAAAAAAACAAAAAAATTCTTTTCTTTATATTTAATTTGGCACTGTCCATTAGGTTTTAAATTTGAAATTACATTTATCCTCTTTGCACAAGTACACGTACTCTCGTAGTTGGCATGTTGCTACTGTTATTGCCGTTGCTGCTGCTGCTGCTGCTGCTGCTGAGTTAAACTGAAAATTCCACTTGTGTCTTATCAATGATGACGAGCCAGAGACAACTTCAAGCGACAAGTGAAAAAGGCGCGCGCGCGCGTATACATGTATGCACATACACTTTTGTTTACAGTAAGTATCTTCCAAATGTTTTAGCGTATGTAAAGTAGCGCCTATAATAAAATTTTAAAGTATAAAACTTAATCTTTAAACTGTAAGCCGTAAGAAATTAACCAATCATAATCGATTGTTTTCACATTTAATTGTGATTGGTCAATTAAGGTTTAAAGCTTAAGTTTTATACCTTAAAATGTCATTGTAGACGCCACTTAAAACGCATATGTGCCATGCAGAAGCGATGGATAACGAGAATGCGATAGCACTCAGCGGCGAAATTGCTACACAAACGTCATGAGTAGTTATGAGCAGAATAAATGTTAAGTTCTGTTAGGCAGAGAGACAGAGAGAGAGATAGAGATAGAGAGCGAGAGAGGGAGAGAGAGGGAGAGAGAGAGGGAGGGAGAGAGGGAGGAAGGGAGGGAGGAAGGGATGGGGAGGGGGAAATGGGGGGAGGGGGAAGAGAGGGGGAGAGAGGGAGAG